CTGTGGTGTCACAGTTCACAGCAACCTCAAACTCTTGGGCTTAAGTGATTCTCTTGCCTCAGCCTCCCAAGTAGCTGGGACTACAGGCGCCCGCCTGTTTTTTTGTTGCAGTTGTTTAGCTGGCCTGGGCCGAGTTCGAACCTGCCACCCTCAGTATATGTGGCTGGCACCATAACCACTGTGCTGTGGGAGCCAAGCCATATATTCTAGGACAGTTTATTAGCGAATTGTCGGGTCCCTACCAATCTGAAATGTCAAAAAGTAGTTTTTTATTTATATTCCCTTTATGAAGAGTGAGACTGAATTTATTTTCATAAGTATAAATGACATTTATATTTCATTTCTTCTAAGCTATCTGTTCATAATCTTTGCCCATTATTCTATTGGAGTATTAACATTTTTCTTGTTGATTTTTTTTGGAGTTCTTTACATATTAGGGAAACCAGCCCTCTGTGGTGAGAGTTGCAGATATTCCCCAGTTTCTCACTTGTCTTTTGACTTGGTTATAGTAGTTTTTGTAATGCAGCCCTCTTCTAGGTACAACTTTTTTTTTAATTAAGTATTTAAAGTTACAGTTTATTCTTTTATGGTTTCTGGAATGTTATATCATACTATACTATACAAAATCATTTTTTTGAATTCTCCTATGGTTTCTTTTAGTACCTTACCATATCAGTACCATAGTTCCATTTCTTAACGTTTAAATATCTGATCCATCTAATTTATCCTATTATAAAATGCAAAGTATGACACAACTTTATTTTCCATATGGCTACCCAAAATTTTCTACACTATTAATTAAATAATCCATTCTCTTACACCATCCTGAGTACCACCGCTGATTTGAAATGCCACCTTTACTAATATTACCTGTCTTTTGTTTTTAGACTTTTTAAGGAATATAATTTAAACAAGTCTTCTGTTTCAAATTTTTCATCAAAACTTATTTGATTAGCCATGCACAGTGGTGTGTGCTTGTAATCCCAGATACTCAAGAGGCTCAGATAGGAGGATTACTTATACCAGCAGTTCAAGTCCAACCTGGGCAACATACTAAGACCCGTCTCTTTAAAAAAAAAAAAAAAAAAGCTTATTTGACAGAAGTCATAATTATGCAAGATTACTTAAATGCTATTCAGTCAATTTCCCTCTCTGAGAATTCATAGTTCTATTTTAACTCCGACAATACAAACCATCAGCTATGTTACTCCTCCATATAATCTTGGCTTCCACATAATTATCTTTAATGAGCTGTATTTTAAATGTTAAACCCTTAGATTTTCTCAAAACACACTATGTAAAGGAGCTACAAGAAAATAAAATAAGGCTAGGCACAGTGGCTCCCGCCTGCAATCCCAGCCCTCTGGGAGGCCAAGGCAGGTGGACAGCCTAAGCTCACCAATTTGAGAGCAGCCTGAGATAGAGTGAGAGCTTATCTCTAAAAATAGCTGGGTACTGTGGTAGGTGTCTGTAGTCCTAGCTACTTGGGAGGCTGAGGCAAGAGAACTGCTTGAGCCCAAGAGTCTGAGGTTGCTGTGAGGTATGATGCCATAGCTCTCTAATTGGTGCAACAAAGTGAGACTCTGTCTCAAAAGGGGGGAAAAAACTAACTAAATATATTTGCTGCAGGAATATTATGGACAAGAAAATCATCACTTAGTATTCTAATATGAATTCTCTTTGAGAAATATTAGTATTTAAGGCCAGAAAATTTTGTTTATCCCAGGACTAGTAAGTTATTTGAGTTTCTACCTTTATTTATATATTCTCTAGTAGTTATTATTCTATTGCAAATGTTTACATAGCAAGACACATTAAAACTTTATCAATCTTGTTACGAAAAGAGTAAATAAACTTGTTAGGTAGTAGCCATGAAGATGTATCACTTAGATCTCCTTCAAGAGAACCTATTTATGGAACACAGTTTAGGCTCTAGCTGCCACCTCTATGAACACTGAGAGTGCTCTTTGCCTAAGCTTCTTCCAGCCAGTGACTAAACTTGGCAGCAAAGCGGGTAGTAGTGCCTGCTCATTCCTACTCAAAGGGATTCCATTACAGGCAACTTTTGCTTGGGCACTCCACATCTGCCTGGCCGGGATTTTCTCAACTGTGCTGTGGTCTGCCATATTTCCTATCCAATCTTTCCCTCACAAGTGTTAGGCTTGCATCACATTCTGAAAGCTCTTGTTTCCTGCTCCTGGCTCCTTCCTCCTTATTATTCACAGGTGCTCTACCCAATAATCTTGTGCTTCTAAGTCTGCCCTGACATCTGCCTCTTTAAAGATCCTCACTGACATACGGAGTGTAAGACAATTTAGTTAATTGAGGAAAGACTCATAGTTTAAATAGGACCTGTCTCCACATTCTTCATACCCAACATTATCTTTAAGGCTACATGAGGGATTCTGTAGACACGCCCAGCAAAAGAGATAAGTTTTTTATAGAAGTCTCAATGTACTATGGGCTCTTTTGCTATTTCACTGAAAGAATTCAAGTAGATTTGCCTTAGGAAACAGAGCTGTCTCTAAATGAATCACTATATTTTTGCTTGACCTATTCTGAACTGAGAATAACTCAGAAATCTGGTTAGCAATATAGGCAATAGCACCACTCTCTAGCATTTAAAACATCCTAAATAATAAAGATGTTGTCAGATCAAGGCTTCATCAGCATCACCAAGGAAACTCTTGACTCAAGGGTACATGTTTTGCTATCTTGTGAAACATTCATTTAAATAGGATTTCATCTATATTTTTTTAAAAAGTTAACATTTAGCCTATTTCTGCCATTATTCAATTTGAAAGGACTAGCAGTAGGCTGGGCACAGTGGCTCACACCAGTAATCCTAGCACTCTGGAAGGCCAAGGCAGGAGGATTGCTTGAGCTCTGGAGTTTGAGACCAGCCTGAGCAAGAACGAGACCCTGTCCCTACTAAAAATACAAAAACTAGCCAACCATAGTGGCAGGCACCTGTAATCCCAACTACTCAGGAGGCTGAGGCAAGAGGATCACTTAAGCCCAAGAGTTTGAGATTGTGGTGAGGCACGATGACACGGAGGCATTCTACCCAGGGTGATAGAGTGAGACTCTGTCTCAAAAAAATAAAACCAAAACAATAATAATAATAAAAAAAAAACGGGATAGTTGTATGAAATTTGTCAGATTCTAAACTATCATAACATACTAAGAATGCATAAAGCCTATAACAACCAGTGGTTTTTAGAACCTCAAGAACTATGTGCTTTGTAATACTGTGTGATACTGTGTGCTTAATATACTGTGCATAGCTTAACAAATACTGAGTCAATCCCCTATAACCTGCTTTTTAGGACAAAAACTCTCTTTATTCATGAGACCAAAATATTCTTCAACCATTCCCCCAGGGAAAGAACATCTTCAAATTTTGGAGCCTTACAGCTTTACACTACAAAAAGTCCTGAGGGATAAAGGCAACGTTATCACCCAAAAACTCTTATCAGGACATTCCTATTAGAAAGGTATCAATTTGCCTGTTCTTAGTTTTACCTTCTTACAAAGTTCCATAGTCCAGGCTAAATAATTCTTCTTTTTCTCTAATGTTAACACCCTTCAAACATTCAGGAGTGTGTCCCCTGGATCTTGTGGTTTCTAGAATTCAGTCAACCCTGCATGCTTAAATTTGTTAAACTGATCTTCATAAATTCATGTATTTATCCCTCTCAGCACTACAATTGCACTCAGAGCTCACCACCTTCTGTTTCTATCATGCTGACACTGTGCTAAATGTAATACTCCCAGTGGGCTCTTGCCAACTCCCTGTGCTGTGGCACAATTCTTCTTTGTTAGCTGCCTAGAATAGCACTGGCTTTCCTTTGACTGCCAGATCACATTTCAAGCCCAAACCAAGTTTGTTATCTGCCATTACTGTGAAGTCTCTCTTGCCCTCTGGGATTTTATTATTTTTTTTCCCTGTCAGATCTCTTGTATCTCCTCCTTGGCCTCTGAAACAAGAGTGGAATTGTATTCTAATACTAATTTCCAGATAAATGAATATTGTTCATATTTTGGCCTGACACTGGCTAAAACTGCTGACTTAGTTTTCATAATTCACCACTTCCCCCCTCCCCCCACTGGATTCCTACCTAGGATTTTTCCTTGTTAAACCTTCACTCAAGCCTATGTGCTCCTTTGAATTACTGTTTTAGGTAAAACAAAATAGGCAGTATACTTTTCATAATCCCTTTAGTTCAATAAACTTTTACTAAGCACCCACTAGATGCTGGTGTAGTGAATAAAGACGAATATATAGTTT